GCTGGAAGTGTGAATGTCGTGTTACCACTTGTCGTTTTGCCCGTTGTGACTTTAAACTGCTTTAGAAATTTATAAATATTTTGGCAATTATTGGAAAACGCTATTTGGATTTCTATTTTCAGTTTTGAAAAGATTTTGGTGTTGTGTGTGTCTGATTGCTACCTCTAAATGTCCGTCCCTCATGTAGTGTTCGTTGAAATAGTCTATCCTGTGTCACGGTCCTCTATGTGCAAAGCCGAAGTTCATTCTTTTTTGTTGCGTGCCTCAGTCCTGTCTGGAACCAGTTGCCTAGTCTTTTGTTGTATCAATCACACAGGGCTGTAGAAAGATACATTCAAGAGTCAACTTCCAGAAAAATGTGTCCAACTACATGACTTGTATACTTTACTGTACACGATCAAGTCCAGTCCGAGTGCTTCTACAACTTGAATATGTCCACAACATTGTATTGACAGTAGTGGTACCAGTACGTGACAAAACTATCTTCACCCAAATTACAAGCAAATATTACCGTATTCTCTTGAATGTAACTGATCGCACCCGGCTTTTACACTAAAGTAAAAAGGGCAAAGAAGGTGGTGCGACTTACAATCGAGCATGACATCCTACCTAAATGACTATATTGAAACAATTATTTGGCTCAAACCGGAAAAGGGGGTGCGATTTATAATCGAGTGTGACTTAAAATAAAGTTATAATGGGGGAAATACTGTAAAACCGGAAAGTGTAACGAATCACAAAGTCTAACGTTTTAAAGATCAATTTTTTCGTTATCCGGAGAAACGTTATCGCGAGATGTTTGTGTAAACTGGATGCGCATACAGATGGGTGGCCAGGTAGCCAACTTTCTGCACGCTATCATGCCAAAATTACAAAAACGTTAAACTTTTTGGCCGCTAGACTTTACGGTTTTACAGTACGATATGCCACTCTGACTCAGCGACTTTCATCTTTACTTGAGAACGGGTTTATTCACGAAGCCACTGCTTGCGGTGTGAAACCGGTTAACCATGAAATAAGAACCAAAGCAAAAGACAGCCCAACTGTCATCTTTACTACAGCGAGCATTACTTGTCAGTGATTACCGGAAGTGGCTCAGGTCATGTGCAGCACCCCGTGGCAGGAAAGGCATTAGTGCTGCATTAGGGGGCGACTCCGTCACCACAGATTCCGTCTGCCAGTTGACTGTTTTATGTACTGCACTCTGTCATAATGAGTTGTACCCAGTCACGGGCCGGCCAATGTCAATGTTGTAGTCTATGAATTATAGCACAAGGTCACTGCCCCCCCCCCCGGGTCTTGGTTCGAACAATCACTTGGTCATAACAAATTGTCGAGAGTGATATTCCGCCTGAGGGGGAAATCATGGCTATTCACTTCACTTTTTTGTAGTGGAGTTTCTGTGACTCTTTCAAGGTCTTTAGCAGTTATGAGTACCCATTTTGGCAAGCTTTAGCAATTAGTGACACAATTGATAGTGTAAACATTGCAAGCCTGCATCCTGCTCTATGTACTATACACTCCCTTTACTCTTTAGCGAGGTAGTGTTGTACAAGCACAAAGATTGGGAGCCATCATCCCAAGGCAGTAGGGGCGTCGAAGAGATATAAAAAAACAAAAACAACCAGCACATCATTCTGTCCCAATCTAGCCTGCGCTGTGGGCATGAACTGCACACAACATTGCTCTCCTGATCCTACACTACAGATTTTAGTATTAAAGGGGGAGTTAAGGCAAAAATTAAAATTTCACCGGTTGTAGTCTTCGGGGTGCTGAGTCGAATGGTCTTGGTCCGAGGAAGCTGAGACGCTCCCTTCCTACTTGAATCCCAATCGAACTCACGCACTTCCACCGAAACTGGGTGACTGCGCCTTACTAGATGGGGATTTGTATGCAAAATGTCACTAAAAGCGCCATTTCGTTCTTATAAAAGCACGGATGACCGCGATTGGCCCATATGTTGTAGTCTTTTGGACGCTGAGTCGACTGGTTTTGGTCCGAAAAGGCTGCGATGCAGCGTTCCTCCTTTTTTCCCAATCGAACATGGTTGAACAAGCGGTCACGTGCTCCTGGGTGCCCGAATCACCTGGTCACCACGCCAGCAGGCGACAACTTTCACACCAAGGTTCAACTCGAGTGACAGAATTGCACCCAAAAAAGGTCAAACAGGCTAGTAAGTAATTTAGTTGTACCCTGCAGGCACGGTGACCAGGTGACTGGTGTACGCAGGAGCACGTGACCGCTTGTTCAACCATGTTCGATTGGGAATAAAGGAGGAACGCTGCGCCGCAGCCTTTTCGGACCAAAACCAATCGACTCAGCGTCCAAAAGACTACAACATATGGGCCAATCGCGGTCATCCATACTTTTATAAGAACGAAATGGCGCTTTTAGTGACATTTTGCATACAAATCCCCATCTAGTAGGGCGCAGTCACCCAGTTTCGGTGGAAGTGCGCGAGTTCGATTGGGATTCAAGTAGGAAGGGAGCGTCTCAGCTTCCTCGGACCACGACCATTCGACTCAGCACCCCGAAGACTACAACTGGTGAAATTTTAATTTTTGCCTTAACTTCCCCTTAAAAAAAAAAAGAGTTCATGATGGTGTACAACCAGACGTAGACTGCACACTGCACTGGTTACCATGGTTACAGTACACAGCTGCTGATAGCGCCTGCTGATACAGGGTACCTGGTACTGTACCATCAACACTGTCAAGTGTCAGTGGATGTGGCAGCTGCTCAGTGCACACCCATGCACTGCCCACCACTGGCACCAGGCAGACAGTGAAGTCAAGTGCACAGTAACCATCAAAGACAATTGCACACTTAGAACGTGTACATGTTTCACTCTAAAGTAAAACCAAACAACTTCACTCAGTGGTCATCAGTAGCTGTGAGAACTCAAGTGGATGATGAGCTGGCAGCTCTCCAGTGCCTAGGAGAACTGGGTGAACTATGAAGTGGCTTGTCATCCCCACAACACCACAGCTAGCACCAGGCTAGTAAAGGTACTGTCAACCATAAGGCATAATCAAGGAATCAAGGAAGTTTGGAGTAGGAAATGGAAATATGGAAGCATACCAACGCAAGGCATAACAGTATACTTCCGATAATTAGTAGTAATGAACATTGCAAAACGTTGGATTGAAATAATTATTATATTATCACTGTAATTATGTGTCAGTCATTGGAAGGCTCTGGTGACATTTAATTTAGTGAAATCTGTAACATAGCAGTTATCCATGTATTTCTGTTGCACAGGGGCAGAAATTTAGCAACAGTAACAGTTTGTGTGTGTGTGTGTGTATGTGGTGTGTGTGTGCACACGTGAGTGCATCTGAGCACATGTGTGTATGTGGGTCTTGTTGAATGGTGTACTAGTAATCCCAGCACAAGTTGCTATGTCTATTATTGCTTTCGCAATGTGTGTGCATGTGTGTGTGTGTGTGTGTGCGCGCGCGCGCGCGCGTGTGTGTGCGCGCGTGTGCCTGGTCCGTTGGCTTCAACGGTAATCACTTTCCGGCAGAAGCTCCTACTTCACATGTCCACACAATTCAATACGTCATGACGGCACAGTGCACGTACACACACTAACAGGACAGCAGGTACTGCCTGCACATTTCCTCGTAGTATTCCAGCGGCTTGCACTTCATGTCCTGGACTTTGGCTTGGTCGTCAAAGTAGCGCAGTCGGATCACGGCATCAAAGAACTCCTTCTGCCGAAACGCCTCTGCCTCGTCCGCTTTCATTGGCCCTCCCTGGTACACAAGAGTTTGTTTACTGGCAGGTGACAGTTTGTCGTGGTAGCTGGAGTCAGCAAACACTAGATATCTCTTCGCATCTACATGGCCAGCCACAGCCTCGCACAGAACCTGTGGGAAACCCAGGTTTTTCAGATAAGTGCCGCCCAACTGTCCATGTTCCATGGCACCCAGGCTTGACTCAGCATCAGCACATTCCTTGGCAACCATCTGCCGCACGTTGTCCTTGTCGTAAGCTACCAAATGACCAATGTCGTGGAACAGTGCAGCCAACACGTACTGCGTCTCCCAGTTTTCACTCTCCGCCAGCATGGCACACTGCACCATGTGTTCCGTCTGGCTGACGGGTTCTCCAATGTAATCCTTTGTTCCATGGCGCTTGTACAGCGAGAACACCGCCTCGACTGCTTCATCTACTTTCGTCATGACTTTCGCCCAGAGGTCAGGAACAGAGATACCACTACACTCGACAGGCTTTGCTTCGTTCAACGAACGTCAGATAGGTCCTGTTTCCAACAAAAAACACAGCTGAGCAAGGAAAAAACAACGACTGCACGTCAAAAGCACTCAGTTCAGTGCTATAAATCACTGACTTTTTCCTCCAAGTGTTTTTTTCATGAACTACTCGTGGGTCGCGGCCGGCCGGGTCGCCGACATTGCACGTGAGATCCTGCCTTGCGTCATCATGCATCAATTCATCATGCATGAATATTCGAATTCATTCACGCGGGCACGATTCGCACGAACCAGTGCATGCAGTGTGAGTGACCTGGCCTCATGACCAGTGTCATGTGAGTCATGTCCAGTGTAGCAAAGACTATTCATGATAATGTACAACTACAACCAAGAATACATCATGCCATAATTTAAACCAGAGTGTGTAGCTTCGCATCTATGCTGCACAAAACCGATCCCAAAGTTTTTACCAGGGCGAAGTTTTTTGTTCAGGTCATCATGACCGTCATAGAAAGTCAAACCCAGTCATACCGTGGGTTTAGTGCTAGATTGCCGATACCATAATAGCAGGAGAACCGCGTGCGTTTTTCACCTTTAGCTTATATTGGTGGGACAAGCAGCAATGCACAACAGATAATGACCCCTTGTGAACCAGTGCGAGATACAGCGAAGGTGAGTCACTATGACATACACAAAAAAAAACTTCGCCGTGGAACGATTTTCTGCACACTCCAGTGTTTGAACTCTTGCCTCTTGGTAAAGCCTAAAAGCACATTCTATCATTCAGCCAAGAATAATCGCTCTAGCTCTCTCCGGGCTGGCGTAGATCACGTAGAGACCACCAGGGAGTGGGTACAAACCACGGTAAATCATGTAAAACTGATGAAGAATAGTAGGCGTCTAGATTAGGGTGTATGGCTTCACATGACATGACCTCGAGTCTGAAAAAAACAAACATTGTTTGTATCCGTTTCAGATTCGAGGATATCTATGTTGTTGCTAGCTGTCACTGTAATGAATATTTAACAAAAAAAATGTTCTTTCCATAAGAGGAGAATGAATAGAGATTCAAGTCTAGCATTCCTTTTCTGCCAGATGCCGCCATGTATCCCATGCGGCACATAATCTATCATAAAAATAAACTTCTAATTTCTTCGCAAAGTTACCTGTCGGCAGTCCTGGACAGTGTCTCAGAGTCAACCGGCTGCCTGGAACAAAAGACAAGTCAACTGCAGTGTTGCGGAGAAGCACTCCAACATCAGCGGTACACCTTGTAGGTCAAACAGGACGAATGACCGGTGGAAAAATAGAGCCCTCAACTTGCTGTCGTATCTGGCCTATCCTGGGTCAGTGGTATTTGGTGAGTGTTAGCATCATTTGCGGGTAAGCCATTTGGCAATGGTGGCTATGCCGCAATGAAATCCAGTTCTCATATCTATGAATATTTTTAAAGAGGTATGGACTTCGCTGGACGCAAGCCACCCAGTGAATCTCTGTACTGCTCGATGACTTTATGCACCTCGTAGCGCGACGTGGTCTCCATGAGCTTGGACATGTGCGGCATTCGGTTTGCCACCGCCTGCAGCTCATAACACCAGTACATTGACATGAGCGGGTTGATGTAGAGCTCGCTGCTTGCAGTTCTCTGCGACGACTGGACGTTTCCGAACCGGCCGCGCACTGCGTTGCATACTGATGAGCAGACGATGGAATCTAACGTCAACGATGATACATAGTCATATGTGTCCAATAGCATTTGTGCTTCCGGTGTCTGGACAGCAGAGAGAACGCTCCGAGAAATCCACCATCCACTGTTAGTGTTGCGGTATTCTCTAGAAATAAATGATGGCTGACGCCGTGGAAGTGATCTACGCCAAATCCTAGACAGATCAAGAACTTCGGTATGGGAGCTTGCAAGATGTTTATACCCGCTATGCTTGTGCTGTCTTCAGTTGGCGTGCCAAGCTTATGCTCATCGCCAAACATCAAGGAATCAGTCCCACCGTCCACGCACAGTATAGCGTCAATGCTGAATTTCTCTACTAGAGCTGAATATGCCTCGGCCAGCTGCCGCGCACCGACCTTACGGTCAATGGTGTAATTAGGAACATCCCACTCATGCTTCACAGCGAAATATTTGCTCAAATAGTATTCCGGGAAGTAATTCAATCCTCGCCCTGCACCAGTGCTTTGGCCTGGGTTGACAATTCGTTCGTCGCTGGCTCTAACGCAGACGCAACGATCCGTCAGCCAATCTCCACCAATTCCATCCAACTCCGTAAAAGTGAGGTTTGCCAAATGGACATTCACACCTTGGTTTTTTAGCGCTGCGAACAGGGGGATTCCGCTGTACACATCATATCCGCCACCACAGCCTGCAATTAGCACATTTTTCTTGCCTGCCAACGCTTGAAACAAGAGTGGCTGAGACAAGGAAAGAGCCATTTGTCTGAACGTCACTTCGTACTAGAAAAAGAAGGAAAGCCTAAAGATTTAAGGCTACCATCTCATTCTCATTGATGTTTGAAGGAACACAGTGTCGTGCAGACACTGGGTAGAACTGAAGTACATGTAGGTAATAGTAGACAGGCAATACTGCCAATAGTAAGGAACGTTTCTGGGCTTTTATCAGCGATAGTGGATATTGCAAATTATGGATTCAATTAGTCAACGATCGACGCTAAAAATTACTTTTGCTTTGTTTAATTGTAGCTTTCACGTTGTTTTCTTCTTTCTGATGGCAATGATGACGTAGTTCGGCGAACATACGCCGATGTCACAATCATGACGTACAGACAGTCATGTAGATCTGCAACCAGCCATGTGGGATCAGAGGTCATGAACTTAGTGCACCTTTTCCAGCTACACTACAGTTACTTTCTCGCGAGCCTGGAATGCCTGGCCCAAACTACAATCAAAGCTCAAGATCAAGAAGATCGCATTGAAGAACGAACATAACCATTCCTATTTTGTGCAACACTGAACAGGTGTTCCTCCCACCACAAGTCCCACTCCAGGCCGGTTTCTCCAGGACCCTGCTACTAGTGGATATTATTCCTGGTTTCTGGCAGCCAACAGTTGTATCTATCTGCTGTAGTACTGGATCGTGTCTTTGTGTTGGCGTGTCTTATTTACAACGAAAATGGACGACGCCGAGTTTACTTATACTTGTGAGCAATCCAATGACCTATCTTCAGCAAACAATCTAATTGAACGATTGACTGTGCAAGTCAAGCAAATGAAGGAGTACTTGCCAAAGGTAGTGGATTGGCGATTGCTTTTA